CTTGTGATCCACATAAGGCTTAAAAGGATGTTAATTTCATATCATATTGATAATAAACATAAAAATAAATTAGACAAGGATGCAAGAAAATAAAATCTCTCGGAGCCCAATGGTTATTAGGGTTTGGGAATGGCTATGGATTCCCCTAGACATATGTATAAATAGGTAAATATAAAAGGTAAAATATTTAGTAAAATAAAATCTCAAAGTTAAAAAAAAAGGCAAATGCTATTCTTACATAAATTAGGTAATAAATAATAGCTAAAGTAAAATACAGATTAACAGAAAACAAAGACAGACTCATAGCATTGAGTACTATACTGTGACTTTCTATATATTGGAAATTGATACATACTAAGATAAACTGAGTTAATAAAATGTAAAGTGTTCATCACAGTGCTGACATACATAAAAGACTATACAAACATAACTACTATTACTGTCTCCTTTCATTAGAATGTAAGCTCAATGAGGGCAGGGAATTTTGCCTGTTTTGTTATATATCCCACATTCTTAGAGCAAAGCTTGACAGACTTTCAATAACATTTTTGAAATGAATGAACAAATTAATATTCCTATTTCCAAAGATCCTTTCAATAACTGATGAACCATACTATTCTATATGTTTAAAATGAACTACGAAAAACTGTTTGACTACATAATGTCTTAGAGATAATCCAAGGGAAATAATTTTCCCTCCACCTGGATACAACGACAGATTTTCATATTCAGCAATAAAGAAACTAACTCATTCAATTTTCATGTATCAAAACACTAATGTACAAAATTCAAAGAAAATATTTATCACACTTCTTTGGCATCAGTCACATCACACTTCATTTTGACCACACTTCATTTTTATGTGCTCATGAGCAACTACATAAATATTTAACCATGTGAAAAAAATATCATTAATTACTCTTACCTGAAGGAACATAGAATGAATCCCCAGTTGTTATTACATAAGATGTTTCATGTAAGGTACATAAAAGGTCACCAAAGTTAACATAAAAAACCTGTAAAATTCAAAATTAAAATTTCATTTCAAATTGAACCATCACAACTATACTCCAAAGAAATATAAGGAATGTGGTAGGTAGAATAACTGCCTTAGAAAGATGTCCATGTGTTATAATCTCCATAATTTGTCATGGTACATAGCAAAAGGGACCTCAAAATGGGAGAATTATCCTGGATTATCTAGATGGCCCCTATCTAATAGCATAAGCCAGTGATGACGATCCTTTCGAGTTCGGTGTGTCAGCATTTTGAAAAACCCTAACTGAACTCTGGTGCCGTGTCACATATAGAAATTTTTTGATAATTGCAACCATAGTAAAACAAAGACCTATATTTTTGATATTTACTTTATATATTTAAATGCCATTTAACAAAGAAAAATCAACCCAAAAAATGAGTTCATAGGTTCGCCATCGCTGGCATAAGCCCTTACCACCCAATTTTTATCTGCCACATGTGGGTGTGGGGCCAGCAGTTTGTTGTCTCCATAGTCTCAGTGTGGCTTCTTTAATTTTCTGGTTTTGAATGGTGGCTGTTCTGTAGTTTAGTTGTAATTTTCATGTGGTCAATCAAGTTTTCATATCTTTCTCCAATCAGAGTATCTTCAAGTTAGATTCTGAGATCTTATGATTCAATCATAAAGGTCTTTGAAAGGTTGCTACTAGGTCTGATAAAAATATTCCAAGTTCAGCCAAAGGCCTGGAATCAGACATTTCTCTAAGAAACTGGCTCTTCTAAGTGAGTTGCTATCACTTTTTTAATTTTTGTTTTGTTTTTTATATTTGGGAACATTTATTGCCTAGCTTTCAAATATTTCTACACTTTGCTCATTTGATTATTTTCTCTCTTCTTCTGCTTTATTTCTGTTCTTCACACATCACTCAGGCCGAAACTGGCTCTCCGACATCCCCTGAGGGGTCCCGGATTGAGAGAGGGTGCAAGCCAGGCCAAGGGACCCCACTGGTGCATGATCGGGGCCAGGGAGGGACTGCAGGAGGGCTCCAGGGCGTCTCACCCAGTCCTGATCCAGCAACAAGCTAACCTACCAGTCAGAGTGTCTGCCCCCTGGTGATCAGTGCGCATCATAGCAACTGATTAAACAAATGGTCAGACACTTAGCATATTAGGCTTTTATTATATAGGATTATATGGGATAATGATTTATCTCATTATTAAGTCAAAATGTAAATATAATAATTTTCTTCCTGTAGAACAATTCAATGGTTTCTAATTACTGCAACTGCTGTCAAAGTTACAGTGAATAATTACATATGCTTAGCTTCCCTAACTTTTCATTTATTTTCCTAGGAAAAATTTGACCTGTGAGTCAGAGGTCAATGGGTACAATGTTTTTCCAATAATTTCTACTAATTCAGTAATTATAAAGTATCCTGTGTTTTTAAAATTCTATAATTTTCAAATTCAAAATGCAGAAATATATATACTAGCTCCCAATTTTCAGTCTGCTGCTAACTACGTACATGATTTGGAAGAAGTTTTTTAACCTCTATTGCTAAACTGCATGATCAAAGAAGTGAGATTTAGACTAAATCTTAATAACCCCCTCCAGGACTAAAATTCGAATGATTTCTGTGCAAACCAATATTCTAAGATTCATTTAAGTAAAGACCATTCCTTAACCCTTTGTGGTCCAATGTTATTTTTGGAATTCAAACAGTCTGGTCCAAATTAATTGACGGGATTGAATGTTGAACTTTTTAATGTTCATATTGCTCGACGTTGGACCTGCTCTAAGCGCCTGGTCTGTTGAGTCAGCCTCGAGGTTGGACTAAAAAGGGTTAAACTTCTGAATTTCAAGGGTACACTGCTACACATTGAAAAGGAACTTTTAAATAACCATTGGTTTACTCTAAACAGATATAACAACAACAAAAATTACCTGTGCATAAGGAAATAGCATTTTTAATGCCTCATCATGTCTAATAAAATAGAAATGTACCAATAGCAAAAATATATGGAGAAATATACTCACCAATGTATCCCGGCCAACATGCTGCTTTCCCTTTTCTTGATGTGGCCCTAATATCAATTTTCCAGTAGAAAAAAGGGGTGTATCCAATGTTTTATACACTTTCAACTCATCCTGCTCAACTGAAAATGTATATGTATCTCGTGGCTTTAAAAGCTCTAAGGGAAAAATATTAATATAATTATAAAGCAACAGCAATGACATTGCTCAACAATCTAACATATATACACATAACTACAATAGTCATTTCTAGATATAAACCTACCTTAAGGCCCTAGCAGGTTTGGCTAGAGCAGGGGTCCTCAAACTTTTTAAACAGGGGGCCAGTTCATGTCCCTCAGACCGTTGGAGGGCCGGACTATAGTTTAAAAAAAAAACTATGAACAAATTCCTATGCACATTGCACATATCTTATTTTGAAGTAAAAAAACAAAACGGGAACAAATACAATATTTGTATTTGCATGTGGCCCGTGGGCCGTAGTTTGAGGACCCCTGGGATAGAGCATCAGACTAAAGGGTCGAACCTGCAGACTAAAGGGTGCCAGGTTTGAGTCTGACCAAGGGCACATGCCTGGGTTAGGGGCTGGATCACCACTCCCCCAGTAGGGGGTGTGCAGGAGGCAACCAATCAATGATTCTCTCTCATCACTAATGTTTCTATCTCTCTCCCTTCCTCTCTGAAATCAATAAATATATATATTAAATTAAATAAACCTGCCTTAGAAAGACAAAAGAAATGAAATCAAGATCATTGACTCTGGCGCTAGAATGCCAGATGTCAAATTCTGTCTTACAAGCTGTGTAACCTTAGCCAAGTTATTTATCCTTTTTCTGTGCTTACATTGCCTTTTCTATAAAATAATAATAGCTCATCTATGTTAAATATCAAATGAGTTAATTTGTATAAAGTATTTAAAACACTGGCACAAAGTAAACATTAAAGTCTTAGCTGTTAATAATAATGGCAGTATTGTTTTTTTTCCATTATAGCTCAAATGAAAAACAAAAGTAGCTAAGAGACAAGAAAAAGAAAGACTTCCATACATTTTAAATGTTTAACATAGCCCACAATACCAATGTACCATGACCATGCCAATAGAGTCCTTTGCAATTAACTGATTATTAAATAACATTTTTATTTATCAGGTAAAGGCTCTAAGTAACTGGAGTTCTAACTATTGCTCACAAATTACTATCTCCCTTTTGAATTTCTTTTTACTCATAAAACTTTGCAGTTCTATAATTAATACATTCTTCTATCATCAGCTTCTGACTGTTTCCTTGGATATTTTGGAATGTTTTCTGTATCTCATATTAGAAATAGAAAATATACAGGATATAGGAAATACACAGACTCAATAAACATACAAAAAGTGATGAACTCCTAACAATACTCACAACTTTTCTAACCTGGTACAGAATAGCAATGTTTTTAATTAAGACACTACACTAAACAAAATTCTCTGTACTTCTACCTCTACTACCAAATAAACAATCTGAATATTGAAATAACTTTGTTATTTAAGAAGTCAAATGGAACCTATTTCACAGCCAAAATTTAAGTGTGAACATCATTATAGCTTCTCTAGTTGGACCTATTTGTTCTATGACTTAGGATAAATAGTCCTTGGTACTCACTGAAACAGTCATAACAGTTGTTAAAACATTTAAGTATTTCCTATATATAAACACTGCCTGGTTGATAAATACCTTAGTGTCTCCTACTTACTCCCACCACACTACACGCAATCCTTGGGACCTCCCATGGTCATCCAAGACACTAACTGTTTAATGCAGGGGTCCTCAAACTACGGTCCGCGGGCCACATGCAAATACAAATATTGTATTTGTTCCCGTTTTGTTTTTTTACTTCAAAATAAGATATGTGCAGTGTGCATAGGAATTTGTTCATAGTTTTTTTTTAAACTATAGTCCGGTCCTCCAACGGTCTGAGGGACAGTGAACTGGCCCCCTGTTTAAAAAGTTTGAGGACCCCTGGTTTAATGCCTATTCAATACAGCAGCAGGTTTCTACGACCTTGTGCCAACCCAAAGGTTAAGTGTGGCATCTGATTGGCTGATTGATGCACTTGCTAGTCATCCTCTCAAAGGTTTCATGTCCCAGGTATAATTACTGGAATATCACTGCCAAGAAGGTTATCTAAATCCTGTCCACAATTCCTTTCTGGTCTCACAGTAAGAGTGTGTCCTAGTGTCTGCCAGCTAACTTGCTACAGTTCCCCAAAAACAGCCCTTGTCTCTATGTCAAAGAATGCCTGGTTTTCCTATTGGGGAAGGCAACACTCCTGATGGTATTAGCACTTGTATCCCAGAGGACAAATGCATGGTACTACATGCCCCCTGAAAGTTGTTTGCTGTCAATGCTCCCCAGAGTATTCCTTATATGGGCTGCTTACTGGAATTAGACCCTCTACTGGACTTTGGCTCAGAAAGAGCTAGGAAGAGAAAGAGAAAGTGGGCAGGTCATCAAGCCAGCAGTTTGTACTTCTTAGCTATCAAATTAAGCATGTTCAATATCATTCCTGATCTTACCCATGAGAATAATCTTTCTTGTTTCCGGATCCCTTACCCACGTTGGCTGCAAAGGATCTCCCAGAGGTATATTCAGATCTATGACTAATTCTTTCTCTGCAAAAAAAAAAAAAAAAATACAATTGACATACAAACTGCTTACTTAAAATTCTTGAAAAACATCTAGTATGAAATACAGCTTTGGACAAGTTGTAAAGAAGAACTGCCAGAGGCATAACATCTCTTCCTACTTATAAATGACCATTCTGATTCACAATAACTCCAAAACAATAACGATTTAATATAGAAGCAAACATCCTAAATTTCTTATTTTCGGTAAGCCTGTAGAAACGTGACAACTCTTGAACTTTTGCACCAAGAAGTTAAATGGTTTTGCATATTCTCTAAGAGGGCCGGAAGTATGCAATACTTTTTAGAAAGAATTCATCAAAAAGTCTATTTTAACCATACGTGGGCTTGAAAAAGGTAAGCTTCATTTGACAGGGCTATTTACTAATGTGGAAATGTTTTATACTGTGCTAGTAATGATTTTTATTTTTAAGAATAAAATTAGTGTGGACTACCCATTAAGATGGCAGAGTAGATAAGTGCTGTGCTCTCCACCTCTCATACCCACAGAAAAATTACAACTAAATTATAGAACCAACACCCGGGAGGATCACCTGAAGACCAGCTGAACAGAAATTCCTTTAACTAAGGATATAAAAAGAAGTCACATGGAGACTGGTAGGAGGAGTGGAGACATGAAACGGGATGTTCCTATATCTACATGTGCTGTTAAGAATGGAGAGGTATAGCTCAGCTGTGGAGATGCCCCTGAGGAACGAGGGGACCCAGAGCCACACTAGGCCTGCCACTCTAGAGCAGCGGTCGCCAACCGGTGGTCTGCAGACCACTGGTGGTCCGTGAGGTCCAAAAGGTTGGCGACCGCTGCTCTAGAGCACCAGTGCTGGGAAAAAATGAGTCCCCACAACATCTGTGAACGTCAGTGGGGATTCTGTCTGGATGAGACAGAGAGCTACTGGAGACCCATGCAAACCCAAGCATAGACTCACTCATTCACAAACATTCACTCTAAGGTCGAGTCAGGACAGCAACTCAAAAAGTACTTGGGACATTAGAGGAGAAAATGAATTGTCTGGCTTCAGGGCAAGGGCTGGAGTGGCTACTCTCTCTGGACAAAAGTGGCATTGTCCCTTTGTTGAGCCCTCCCCACACAAAGCCTACAGGAGCAGGTGAACACCAAGTCTGAGTCCCCATTAACCTGGCTAACAACACTCGCCCCATCCTGGTGATTCCCTGAGAACATACCCCACCTAACTCCTGCACCAAGCCCAAACCTCTTTCAGTGGTTGTTCCACGCAAGTAACTTGCCTCAGTCAGTGCTGGGGACTTCCCTAAAATCTTTCAAAGATCCACAAACCACAGATAAGAAGTGGCTGGCCTTGGCATGCTCTGCATGAATGACAGCTGGTCCAATGCCCAGCACAAGTGACAGCTGGCCTCAGTTTGCAGCATAGCCTCTCCCTGGTGCCTCCAAGCTCAGCCCAGCAACTACCAATCACAGATCACACTGTAGCTCTTAACATATGGCCCAGGCAGGACACAGGTAACAGCTGACCTGGGCCTGCACCAGAGTACCTCCCAAGAGGCTCCAGAACTAACACACGCAGTGTCTGGCTTCAGACAATACAAGAGCACCACACAATTAACACAATGAATCCCACTTTGTGGGGCCAGACCCCACACAACACCTTGTCAGGTATGTAAAGGCCATTCCATACAGCCATTCAGCCAGAGTCAGCCCCACCAACTGATGAGCCAAAAGCAATGCAGGCTCAACTACAACATAAAGGCACATACAACATACACAAGGGACACACCTGGAGCAACCAGCTAAGGTGACCGAGAGATTATGCCACTAGACCCCACAGAATTCCTACTACATAATGCCACCCAGCTAAGACTAGGAGATGTAAAGGATTTACCTAATATGTAGAGAGAAAAACAAAGGTAGCCAGCCAGAATGAAGAGACAGAGAAACATGCCCTAAATGAAATAACAGGACAAAACTGAGGAAAAAAACTAAATAAAATGGAGGCAAGCAATTTAGCAGTTATAGTTCAATACACTGATTATAAGGATACTCAATAAACTTAGGGGGGAAATAGATGTAATTAGTGAGACTTTACACAGAGGTAAAAAACATAAAAAAGAATCAGTCAGAAATGAAGAATACAACTAACTGAAATGAAGAATATATTTTAGTTAGATGGAATCAACAACAGATTAGATGAAGCAGAGAATCAAATCAGTGATTTGGAACACAAGATAGTAGAAAATACCCAATCAGGACAGCAAAAAGGATAAATAAAAATGGGGATAGTTTAAGAAACCTCTGGGACAACATCACCCATGATAGGGGTCCAGAGGGAAGAGAGAAAGCATTAAAGATTGAAAACCTGTAAGAAATAATGACTTAAACTTCTGTAACGTGGCAAAGAAAATAGACATACAAATCTAGAAGCAGAGTTCCAAACAAGATAAACCCAAAGAGGCCCACACCAAGACACATCATAATTAAAATGCCAAAAGTTAAAGACAAAAATAGAATCTTAAAAGCAGCAAGAAGAAAGCAAACAGTGTTATACAAGGTAGCTCCCATATGACTGTCAACTGATTTCTCAACAGAAACATTGTAGAATAGAAGGGATTGGCATGAAATATTCAAAGTAATGAAAAGCAAGAACCCACAACCAAGACTACTCTATCCAGCAGGTCTATAATTTAGAACTTAAAGAGAGATAAAGAGCTTCTGAAGCAAGAAAAAGCTAAAGGAATTCTCACTACCACCAATCCAGTATTACAAGAAATATTAAAGGGAGTTCTAATCAAAATATATTTTGAAAAATAAAAAATATAAATAAAAATATAAAAAAGAAAATTTCCCACTAACAGAAACAAACATATAATAAAAGCAATAAATCAACCAACTACAAAGCTAGTGCAAAGGTTAAAAGGCAAAAGTTGAAAGATCATGTATAATAACAATAGTAAATTAAGGAATACACACAAACACACACAAAAAGGAAGTAAAAATAATGACAAAAACATAAATGTAGTAGGGCAATTAAAAATAGTGGTGATTTGCCCTGACCGGTTTGGCTCAGTGGATAGAGCGTCAGCCTGCGGACTGAAGGGTCCCAGGTTCGATTCCGGTCAAGGGCATGTACCTTGGTTGCGGGTGCATCCCCAGTAGGGGGTATGCAGGAGGCAGCTGATCGATGTTTCTCTCTCATCGATGTTTCTAACTCTCTATCCCTCTCCCTTCCTCTCTAATGACAAAAACATAAATGTAGAAGGGCAATTAAAAATAGTGGTGATCTTAGAATATGTTCAAATTTAAGCAACCATCAATTTAAAATACACTGCTATAAACATAGCTTGGTATATACATGAAGCACATGGTAACCACAATCCAAAAATTCACAAGAGACAAACAAGAAATTAGGAAAAAAAAAAAAAGAATCCAAACAAAACCCTAGAAAGTCACCAACATACAAGAGATGAGAGCAAGAGAATAAGAAAGGAACAGAAACTACAAAAATAATCAGAAAACAATTAATAAAATGGCAATAACTACATACCTATCAATTAAATGAAAATGAATTAAATGCTCTAATTAAAAGATATAGGGTGGTTAAATGGATAAGAAAATAAGACATACATAAGGCGCCTATAAGAGATTTAAATGCAAGACCCAAAATCATAAAACTCCTAGAGAAAGGGGACATATATAATACTTTCAACAATAAAATTTTTAAAAATAAAACTCCTAGAAGAAAACATCAGCAGTAAAATCTTATACTTCACCCTAAGTAACAACTTTTTAGATACATCTCAATAGGCCAAATCAAACAAAAAAATAATCCAATGGGAATACATCAAATTAAAGTTTTTGCACAACCAAGGAAACCATTAACCAAACAAAAAGACGACTTACTAAATAGAAGAAGAAATCAGTCAGTGATACTTCCAATAATGGCTTACAACTTAGCAAAAACCAATTTTAAAATGGCCAGAGAATTTGAATAGACATTTCTCCAAAGAAAACACACAGGTGGCCAACAGACATGAAAATGCTCAACATCACTAATCATCAAAGAAATTAAAATCACAATGAAGCATATCCTTTCCAAGTAAATTGTCTTTCTCTTAAAGACTTACAACCATGGGAACAATGGGCCCCCTTTTTTCTGACTTTGCAGTGAGCTCACAGCAGCCCCATCTTGGCTAACTTTTTTCCCATAACGTTCCTAGAGAGCCAAAGCACCCTTGCCTAATCTCCTGTTGCTCCTTTTATTCTAGGTTTTTCCTTGTTTCACTCTTCCCATCTTTAATAAATGTACTCTACAAATCAAACAAATAAATACATTAATTAATTATATTAAACCACAATGAGATACCACCTCATTCCTGTCAGAATGGCTATCATCAATAACAATAAACAGGAAGTACTGGCAAGAATGTGGAGAAAAGAGAACTCTAATGCATTGTTGAAATGTAAATTGGTGCAGTCACTATGATACACAGTATAAAAGTTCCTCAAAAAAAAACAAAACACGCCCTAACCGGTTTGGCTCAGTGGATAGAGCATTGGCCTGCAGACTGAAAGGTCCCAGGTTCAATTCTGGTCAAGGGCATGTACCTTGGTTGCGGGCACATCTCCAGTAGGGAGTGTGCAGGAGGCAGCTGATCGATGTTTCTAACTCTCTATCCCTCTCCCTTCCTCTCTGTAAAAAATCAATAAAATATATTAAGAAAAACAAAATAAAATAAAACAAAACACAAAAAAACTACCTTATGACCCAGAAATTTCACTTCTGGGTATTTATCCAAAGAAATCTAAAACACTAATTTGAAAAGATATATGTACTGCTATGATTATTGCAGTATTATTTACACTAGCCAAGAAATGGAAGTAACCTAAGTGTCCATAGATAGACCAATGGATAAATTGTGATACATATATACAATAAAATATCAGTCGGCCATAAAAAAGAATGAAATCTCACCATTTGTGACAACCACAGATGGACCTAGAGCAGCGGTTCTTAACCTGTGGGCACGATCCTTTGGCGGTCGAACGACCCTTTCACAGGGGTCACCTAAGACCATCCTGCATTTCACATATTTACATTACGATCATAACAGTAGCAACATTGCAGTTA